AGTTGTTTGATTTGGTAATCGTGGTCTTCAAATCATTGTATTAGTTTTATTAACCTCTATTGGAAGGTAAATAATAAAATTAATGACCTTGAAGTGTCTTTGACTCTTCCACCTGAAAGCAAAGAAAGGCAACACCATGCTATGCCCCCTGAATGAACTCATTCTTTGTAAAGTATTTGTTTGCTACCTTTAAACATAAACGAATTATCCAGATGACCGGCCTTAAATGCCACACCTTGTACGATGCGTATACATATGCATTTAAGAAATGAAAAGTAAGCAACAATCAAGGGTAGGAATGAAAGAAAGCAATGACCAAGGACATCGAGTAGCGAACACCATCGATCTGAAAGAGACATACAGAGGGAGAGAGAGCGACTGTCGCGCGAAGGAAATCCGGCTGAAATGTTTCCACGATCGTGCAATTCTTTGCTGCTCCGTTGATCTCGCGATCTCGATCGATCCCAACTATCCATCGGTCGGTCGGATTTCCTCGTCGCAGCATACTCTTTGACGCTCGCGCTCCATAAACAATAGGAGAAACTATAACCAAGTTGTGCTAGACTCGGATTAATAACGAACTAATTAATTAGTTGGTCGTTGCAGAAGATAAAAAATTTACATGATTACTAAAAATATAACAAACACACAAGTAAACGATCGTAAAATAAATTGCAAAATGTTTAACGCGAATGGAAACGTGAATATGTACCAATCAACGTGAAAAGTCTTGTGATGTTAATTAACGTGCTTTCGGTTCTCGTTTCCATGTTGCGCCGTTCATTTATGTTAGCACGTCCCGACGTAGTTGTCGATCAGCAACTACGAACTTAACGCATAAGCAAGGAAAATCCTTGCAAATATTTGCTCAACGCGCGCGTATTCGAACGGAATTTTGATCAAAACAGAGATCAAGATTGATCAAGAAATAGTTTCATTCTGTACCAATGCTTCTGTCATGTGCAGTAATTCCTTTGTTTAACTGGTCGAATCGTTAGTCATGTACAAATAACAGAACGCGTATATTTTCAAATAATCTCGTATTGTGCTAGCACGTTCACAGTCCATGACCCGTATAGGGGTCACAGCGGCACAGTATTGAACAGCGAATACGTTAATTACACATCTTGAAACCTCTCGTTTAAGTTGGTACCCCCTGTTCCCTTACTTTTACTGCTATTATCCTCCTTCTACGTACACAGCGTTTAACCACTTTATAATTTATCGCACGATCGTTTACTTATGTACACTTCTTGTATGTTCAGCGATTATGTAAACGTTCTGTCTCCCGAAGAGGACCCTCCGGTTGGCCCGAAACCTCGAGCGAACGAAATATTTCGGATCACCCTGACACAACCAACCGATCGATTAGTCTCTCTGTTTGTCGCGTCGGTGGGTCGAGCAAAGAAAAAATGAATTCCAATCACATTTAGAGGAATAATGACGTACCAGCGGCGTAGACACTCGTGGCTGCGGAAGCATTTTAGAGCTGCGTCCGTGACAATTAACGTAGAGATAAGTCGACTGCAGTGCCCACATCTTGCTGGCCGAAATATATTATGCTACGAAAAGCGATATAGCGGGGGAGTGCTAGACGATAGTTCATAATCTTGGGTATCTAAGCTGTCATTGTCCACGATATACGACTCCATTTCGACGTTATCAGCACTATTTAAGCCCCGTGTGCATGGCGTGCGGAGGTCTTACCTATTCTCTCCCCCATTTCTCCCTTGTTTCTCGTCTATTCGCGGCAGTGCGCCGCCACCGAGGACGACGATCGGACACGGGGGAGCCTCGGTCCCGAAAACCGAACATGACCGTCGGTACCCCTCCGAGAAACGTCGCGCAATCTCGTCCCGCGAAAGTTCATGCAACCTTGCTTTACATTTTTTCAACGTGTATTCCCGAAAGATCGTTTCCTTCCCCGTCTTGTCGATCGCGCGTGTACATCGAGTCGATTCCGTGCTCTTCGTCCTTCGCGCTTTATTATTCGATACGCGTTATCCGAGAACTAAATAGAACGAAGAAAGCATTCCCGGCGCATCGAGTTAATAACTGTCGCGATAAATGTCGGGCGCAGATGAACAAAAATAAGAAATAAGAAACGGAGAAGACCGTATGGGCGATCACGATAGTGTCCCCCTAAGAAAATTTGTTTCAGAACGCCAACGCGAGGGACTTTCTTCGTAACTTCTGTTCTGCAACGTCGACGATCGATTTTTCGTACGTAATTTATGAAATTATTGCAAATCACGCGTGAAATAAAAGACATAAATGAAACACCGAAAGCAAAAAGTTATATCGATAGAAGAGTTATCGCAAACGACGAGCTCCCGCGGGATCATCGATATATCGAACGTTCGAGTAAGTGAATGGTATCGAAGCAGGTCCGAAAACAATACTTAGAAACTGATGATGACGCTTATAAAGTACCATTTATTGAAATTCTTTTTCTTGCATTACAAAATTTATGCCACAGACAGTTTCGACTCGGTACACGCCAGCTGACGATTCTGGTGAACGACAAATCCTAAAAGACAATCCAAACTTCGACATTATACATGTTCCTCGCGTCTTTCGAAATCCGTGCTTTGGCGATAGCAGCCACGAATAACCGATCGTTCGCCCCGGGAACGTGCAGGTATCGTTTGACGCGACAGAACGATTCGTCGACGGTTAAATAAACTTTGAGGATAACATAAATAAGGAAGAAGATCCAATATCCAACAGTAAATAGGCCGCAGTACGCGAATACGTTCGTTCGAATCGGCCGGTTACTGGGGCAACATGCGCGAGAGCACAGTTTCACGTTGGCGAACGATATTTCTGGACGGGTCGGGAGCGTAGTGAGCCAAAGTTGCGTAAAATGTAGTTTGATTAATGATTAACGATTACGATTACTACCGAGTAATCTCTAACAATGATCAACGATGAACACCAAATGATCAGAATGAACGTAATCATCAAGTCTGATTAACTCATTAATCATTAATCACGAAATAATAATAATGGGACGTTAATAATGATACTCAACATTTTTTTAGAAAATATATATTTATTGAACGAACGTTTATTAAACGAAAAGTAATGGATTATGAAAATGATATAAAAGTACATATACATATATAATATGTTTTTAGTACAATTCTCACTTCGAACATTTCGTCTGACAAGAATAAATTCTGTATAATATATTATTTATATTACATTTATTTTGATAAACCTTCATCCGGCGAAGCTTTTGATACAAATTTACAACTACAATTAACAAGTTTCGAACGAAGCATACATTTTCGTCATATTTCTTTAACATAGAAGATGTTTTGTAGTGTTTGTATAAAAACCTGTTGGACACCCTGTATATTAATTATCCATACATGTACATCGTCAGTTTGAAGTTGCGCATACGACAGATATAAAAATACAAATGAATAATTTTATTACGCTAATTTCTTGCTTTCTTCAAACCATATTACGTATATTATAGTAACGCAAAAAGACTTGCAATTACATCTCTTAATAAATTACAAAACGTCACACATTTTACACAGATCTATTATTTCTAACAATGTGTCATTATTTCAAAGACTCGTTACTCTAAAAATTATTTTACCAAATAATATAATTGTATTTAAAGAATAAAGTAATTATGAAATAAGACAATATATTATTTAAAACAATGTCTCGAAAGTGTCCAGGTCTTGACTACATATAATTACTGATTTTAATAAAATCTAAAATCGTTTATCGAATGATCACAAATTACTAAATGATTACAAATCGTAATTACCGATCACAAATGAAGTTTATGATTACTGATTAATCCGAATGATGATTACTTGATTGTCATTATAAATCGATTAAAAAGAAGCAATGAATTACTGGGTAACTCTGATATGCGATAAGGTACAGGGACGTTGAAAATGTACCGCACTCGGAAAAGAGAATACTGCGCGCGAAAAATGGAACGCAAATCCTACGAGATAAACGAGCTATCGATTTTCGAGCAACGGGCTATATCGTTCGTACTACGGCCATCGAGAAATCGCGCGCACCGTGCGATATATCGTTCCCGTTAACCTCCATTGAACACGGACGCGTGCAGTAGTCGCGACGCCGCTGTTAAATATAGAAGGAACAAATTTCTGTAACAACGAAACAACGCACAAAGAGGCAAAGTAGCAGAGTGGAAAGTAGGATCGTAGCAGGACGAAAAGAGAGGTTACAACAAAGCGTAGATTTCGACGGATCGTGGTTGTGCAGGCGATAGAACTAGACGAGAAAATAGAAGGTGACAAAATACACGAGGTTAGAAAAGTAGAAAGGAGGGAGAAAATTGTTGGAGATAACTATAGTTAGACCGCTAGGACGCGGCGCGAAACGAAGACAGAGATAGGCGAAAGAGGTGAACAAACACCACCAACGTACTATATAAATACCATCGTTCGAAGAAGCAACAGAACGTTAAACAACTGAAACGAAACAAAGCGTTTAAGGCAGTTGCGTGGAAACGCATAAATACTGCTGGAAATTATAAAAGAATGCCCCTGATACTCGTCACGACAGGAATATTGTACGAAATTCTAGTGAGTAAATCTGCAAATTGTATCCACGGACATCACGGCGTGGTCTTTTCGGGTGTGCACGCGTAAAAGCGAAGAAAACGAAAGATTCTGAGAAATGCTCGCGACGGCGGTGGCTGCAGCTCTGAACCGCGATACGAGCACAGCTAGCGACAGCGACGACGGTATGCGCGTACCTTGGAACTTTCCAGAAGTTTGGGTGGGAGCGAAAGACAAGGCACCAAGAGTGGGGAATCGTGGAAACGGTTACGGGAGCAACAAAGATAAGACCGAGTCGAGAGAGAACGGAGTAACCGCGCGAACGGGCTGGCAGGGGAGGCGAAATCAAGCCGGTGGAGAACTATCGGTCGATTTGCAGATTGTGCGAGCGGCTGAATTCGCGTTACGTTAAAGATAGCACATCGTGTGGCGTCTTACCTTCGTTTTCGATATGTGCACTAGGCACAGGGGCCATGGCTGCATCATCTGCCTTCTCTGGGAATTGGCCATCTCGAAAGGCACACCCGAAACGTGCGTGGTGTCAACCGTTTCGTCGCCGGCAGGTCGCGTCGTGAACCGCCACAAGTCTGCGTCCTCCAGCGTTCGTCGCCGAGTCGTCGATACCGCCCTCTGGTCTTCTCTACCCTTTCCTTTTTTCCCCGGGGATTTCTTATTGTGACACGTGATCTACGTTGTTGATTGTTTCCCAGCTTTCCTCTCGTTCGCGTGGCTTCGTCGTGCGTGAGACTAATCGAGTGATTTTTCGATGTTATTAGTTGCCTATATTATCACGTCTCGATAACTCTCCCCTTTGCTCCGATTTCGATGTATAAAGCCACCCTTGTACAGAGAACGACTTAAAGGTGAACGTTGTGTGGTAGCATGGACGAGTCGAACGTGCTTTGTATGGGATCTCGATCCACTACCGCTGCCAACAGTATCAAAAGACACCACCGCTACCCTGTATCGTTACTGTGAATTGAACAGTGCTTGTGGTATACGTGTCCTGTTGCCTGCCGCCCTGCCACGCCGGCTGCTTGCTTCGTTTTCGTTCACCGATGTTTCTGCGTGCACCTGTTACTCCTGTGATACGTGCCTATCCCGCGCGTCAATAGTCGTTTCTCGCTATCCTCAAACCGTAACCCGACCGATTTGAATCGCTTCCACGACGGCTGGGTCGCTTCGCGTAGCTGTAATTAGATATTTCTTCTCTTGCCGCCGTTTTATCAGTCGCGATCTTCGATCCGTCTTCCGAACCGCTATATATCGTGGCCGGCTTTTGAACTTTCGTTAGTAACGTGCGGTCGTTGTGGCGCCGTGTGCGCTTTAATCGTTCAAAATATGAATGAAATGTGCTTTTACGTATGTTTTGGAACTTTGCTAATCAGATCGGGGGGTTTGTCTCTTTTATATAGAGGCCCGTGCGGTCGTAGGCGCCGCCTCCTCTCCTGGGGCGCGCGCCACTGGTGGGGGCACACCTGATGACCCCGCACCTCTTCACCCCCTCACCTACATCGCTTCGTACGCCCCTTCCCTCCTGCTCCGCGACGCCAACGTTGCGTTGCGTACATGTGCGTCGCGGCTTCTCACACAAATTTATCACAGATTGGGTAGATAGTTCCCGCGCAAATTAATACATAAGAAAGAGTTATTGCGCCTCGTGGAATTTCTATTTTTTACGGAGTTGATAATTTTCAAACTTGTTCGAATGAGCCTTTTCCTCCCTCCCCCAAAAATACTAATTTCTGTGTCTAAAATTTATAGACAGAACGCTTTTGTAACGTTCATTTTAACCAAATTTTATTTAAAAGGCTTCAACAGGCAAGACAAATGTTATTTAAAATGAAAATGAACATCTATTTGGAATAATTATTTCAGTTTTCAATGGGTATTTCAAGTGATGAAACTATCTCATTAATTTACATTTTAAACAGTAGCTTTGTTAAAAGCAACGCTTAAGACAATTTTTTTTAATATTTTTAATTTATTCAACAGAGGAATATTGTAGTCAACTTAAAAATGTTATTAAAAAATTAATCAAAATGATAGTAAGTAATATTTCACGACGCGTCCCTTTAATACCATTTTCATTGAAGATTGTAATTATTTAAACCAAACAATATTTTCATGAATATATTAACTGAAACACTTATGACAATTTTATTAATTTGGCATAAATATGCATAGAATAATATTTCATTTAATCTTATCTTTTTTAGAAAAGATAGAGAAAATTTTCACCTAATCTCCTTTCAAATTTGGTTTCAAGTGGAGGACATGGTTCTTACTCAACAAATAAGGTGGAGAGTCAGAGTAGGGATAGAGTGCATAAGTATACTAGTCGTTAGATTGGTTACTTTGATTATTACAGCAATTTTTAGTCCCGGTTCCCATTAATCAAATTTCCTCTTAAAGGAAAGTCACTAGCGTCGGTTTCTCTTATAGGTTCTAACCCAAACCCTAGTGACTTTCTCTTAAATCTTTCAGAAAAGAAATATTAAATATTCTGTAATAATAATAGTACATTTTTATTATACCAAACTTATATATATTACGAAAATCATAATTAAGCGAAAAGAATAAATTGAAAACAAATCTGTAGAATTAAAAAAGGTGAGTTATTAACTTAACCTTGAATACAAAAACGTAATAAATTTATAAAAACGTAATAATGTAGGATAAAACTGCATTGTTACATTTTTATAAAGCACATAAATCTGTAAAATTAAAATTCAAATATTTTTCTCCATTTCTCATTATTCAGTTGTTTTTTATATTGACTACAAAGTTTTGTTTGTATCCAGTAATGGTAAAGAAATCGAAAGAGCACGATTTGGATGACCGACACTCATTAGGCAACTCTCCCCTATTATTCGCATTCTAACCGTCCATAAGCCTGATTATTGATCCAACAATCTTCCTCGAAACAAACAACCGTCGCTAGTCTTATCTTTACAATTATTTGTTTGTTTTCGTTTGTCTGTATATTCTTTTTGTTCTCTACTTGTTTCAAATTAAAAAAAGAACATAAAAAAAGTTGAAAAATGTTCATACTTTCGGTTTTTGCATCGTGTCTCTGAAACTATGTAGAATTCAGCGAAAGGATCGGAGATATAATATGATCGCGATGTTTTTTCGGAAATAGACGGTTGGAAAGAGATTGATGGGTCGAAAAGTAAATCTGGATGTCGAAAGATCGAGAGACGTCATTTTCCGTAGTGTTATAGTCGACAGTGAGGCTTCGACGCCAGAGTATCCTTTGGGCTTCTCACGGAAGGTTCCAGTCGTTCGACCTCCTTTGGTCGTGACCGTATTTAGTTGCTTCTGAACCTATCCACACATACGCGCCTTTCTGCGCCGCGCTTTCTCGCTGCGTTCAATTTTCATCTGTGTCGAGATTCTGATCGAACGAACGAAAAAATTTCGTACGCGCTGCGACGAGCACTTCTACCCGGTTGCTCTTCCACACAGTTTCGTTCTTCGATCAACCGTCGGGCACGAGTTTTTAATATGTTGGAATTCGTAAATTATTCGCGACAACTAATCGACGCCAGGAGGCTTAACGATCGCGTTTATCAATTGACGTCCTCAGCCACTGGAATCGCTGCACGCAGAATTGGACGTTATCGAATAGATTATTATTAAAGTAACATGCCAACAAAGACTCGTCGAAATCAAATTTTATTTCCGTAACCCACACGCGATAAAGAATGAACGTTGCTGACGAATAACGGGCCAAAATTTACTTCTCTTAAAAATGTATTAAAATGAAAACTTACTTGGCTTACGTGGCTTATTTGTAATCGTTTATTACTTATCCCGGTCGCCTAGTGGCGCAATGATAAATGCAGGTGCAAAACAGAATACAAACAGACCAAAATTCTAAAAATATATCGTCTGGTTTAGATACCCTATATAAATTGTCTAAAAATATTACGATTACGAGTTACAGTTTTATTTATATAGAAAAGATGGATTTTTATACCTCTGCCAGTTTTGGTACGTCGCAAAAGCGTCTAATTCCCTCCGTCTCCTCATGCTTCTGCGACTCCCTCCACAGGTGTCCTCAGATTCGCATAGATCGTAATGCCAATGGACAAATGTTCAATGTACACTCTTGCGACTAGAGAAAAAAAAATCATCTGAAATAACCGGTTTCTTTTGCGTCACCTGCGTTTTTATCATCTGATCAGAAGCTTCCCTTTTTTTCATCCTTATTTTTGTCATTGCAAATCGATCTTCTTTGCTCGACCGTGCGACAAGTGCGACATCCTCACTTGCGCCAGTAATTATAAAATCGACACGACGTGGAATCTCATCTTATATTTTACCCACTGAAGATTTTTGTGTTTGGAGGGGTAAAAAAATAGAATATTTTTAATACAAATTTTTAATACAAAAATCACTAGAAAATATTTTACAAAGAAGTGTATTAAATGTGACTTTTTTAAATCAACTCTTAATTTTCTATGCAACTTTTCTTTTGACTATTTAGAGAATTTTAACTATGATACAAGGTCATTAAAGGTCGCGGGAGATAATGCAATATAGTAAACAGAGAAACGTTATTCTTTCATGACACGCAATATTCCTATTAAAATTTCATTTTGGTATTGTCTCTTGACAATTGCAAATGAATCCGTATGGAAATGATCCGAAGAACATCGAAACATTAGTCATCGTTCATATGGCGTCGATGTCGCGAAAAGTGCGTCTGTCCATTTTTTTTTATACATGCACTTGTGATTTGTTTTGTACGTGCATTCGTCTTTGAACAAACGATACACGAGTACACGAATTTCGATTTTTATTTTTCGAGAATAATGCATTTCGACGAACGAGATTTCCCAGCCGATCTGAACAACAATAGGCGGGTGGATAAGGCGTTGAACGAATGGAAATAGAGGAAATCAATTATTGCGACGTAGATAATAATACAAAACAAGACTGTTGCAAAATAATTAGTACTCACCCATCGACATTCAAACGTCGGTGATGTAAATTATGCATTAATATCACGACTACAATAAAATGCGTATCATGTACACGCTTCGTATGTAGAAAACATTGTAAGACCACAATAACATGTTATCTTGCTTCTTGTTTGAACACCACTGTTAACATGATTCCTCGACGCCTACAAATGTACAAAAAGTTGCACATATAATATTTATCGTATTTTTAAATTCTTTAATGTATGGTTTGCACGTTCGTATAAATACTTCATATTTATTTAACAACTAAATTGAAAATTCATGATTATAATGTCTCGTCCACATGATGGAGTACCATACGTGCCCTCGTCGTGTCATTTCACATAACAGGCGCACCCCATCATGTTATTCCAAAAGGCGTGCCCATCGAATGATGAAATACATTACGACGGAGACAAATATTTACATAATTGATAGCATTTTAGAAATTTTATTAATCTCTATACCTTAAAACTATTTCAAAAGACACCATAAAAAATCTTAACTTGAAAACTCTAAAAATTGTACAATTGAAAAGTTGTGATTTGATTTATATAGATACTTGAATTTCATTTGACAAATGTTTGCGCCATCGAAGTGTGTGGATGTTCAATGAACAAAGTCCTCTAGCCGAAATTCGCATAAAAGTTCCTGCCTATCCGGACGAGTCCGCGATCGATGCCCATTCGCGTTTTTGCAACGCGATCTTGAACTTTATGTCGACGCGCAAAACGCCATTTCAGGCGACATCGGACGTAAACATTGATTTTCTAATACGCAATGTTCGCATGTCGTTGAAAATTATGTTTACCTTTCACATAACTGCATTTCTATGGGCTCTACTGGCATACTCGTAAACAGGTAGTTACATCAATTTTAAAATGTATTTTTAATAAGTGTAATTAATAATTTGGTCGTCCATTGTATGACACAATGGCTGGAGGTTTGCACTCGGATTGAAGACGGCCATTTCGGGCGCTTCTTACAAACGTAACCAGTTATATTTTTGCTGAAGCACAGAGTGACTATAACTCGGAAATAAGGTCATACAGTGCATATGTCTACGTGGAGCTTTTATATTGCTTTTGTGTTCCCTATTTACCACTGAAATAGGTACCACATGTTATGAAATATTCATCGAAATCCATTCAACCGCAATCGTATTAACAGTCATACACACATACGCACGGTAAACTGGAGGAATATTGTCACCAACGGTGTAACACTGGCAGCTATAAGTCAGTATACTTTTACTTGATTTCTGTCAAAACATGTTCAATTTGTTTTGACATAATTCGTAAAAAAAGAACGAAGAGAAATAAGTACTTTATGAAACTACAACGAAAGATTTTAATGACTGTAAATAATAACATTAATATTACAAACGATAATTAAGATGAAAATAAGTAGATACAAAATTAGTTCATAATTCTCATCATTTCAAATTAATCTTAAACAACAATGAAAAGATTTTTAAATGTGATGGATTTGACATTGGAAAAAGAACAATTTTAATGATAAACTACTATAATAAGATATTCAAAACAAATGTAAACTTTTTCATATCTATGTTACACGATATATTAACATATATTATGACAAAGTTTGGTTTTCAACAATCAAAACGCGATATAAGGTATCTTGAAACGTTTTTCCCTGTAAACATATTATTTTGCAATTGTTATTGATTGGAATATTTTCCCTCTTTACAGGTCGTGAAATAAACCGAAAGAGACGTTATCGCGTCGTTTTACGTTTATTTGTTTTATGTAGTTGTTTTGTTGCATAGTATGTAAAGGTGTACATATGAGATAAATATGTAAAATAGTATTATACACAAGATACAAGGTTCGACTAAAACACTGTTTCTAATTTACCTTTTATATCATTCGAGTTCTGATAGCAGAAATACAGCATAAGTTTGAATAAAAATTTCTAATAACGGACGAAAGATGAATAATCCATTTCGAAAGATGAACGTC